GCCTGGCGAAACACTTAACCCTCTTTAATCCTTCTGGCAGAGCTGTGCTGAGAGTCAGTGGAACAGCATTACTGGATAAATGCCAAAGGCTTTTTCATACCTGCCAAGGAAAATGCTGTCCTCTCATACCCAATCCCTCAAGTTCTCCTTTTTATTTTCCTGGGCTTGGTACTTGCATAAGGGTGGTGTCACAGGGTGGGGACGGGAGGGGTTCAAAGGAGAAGAACTTCATGCTGCCTGTGTGCTGCAAAAGTAACTTGATGCATATAAGTTGCCTTGCTTTTGTACCTAAAATTTCACTTCGTGCATTCTTCTGCAAAGCAGCTCGATTTTTCACTGCAAACTAGTGAGATAGTAGGCAATAAGCAGGGCTCTTACTTCATCCAGAACTAGGGTATGCCTGCATAATGTGTAGAATTGGGGAATGTAAGAAAAGCTTAAATGTCTGGTCTCTGAATAACCTTTCCATGTGTGCTCTATCTCCCCACTTCACATTTCATATCCAAACCAAGCATGTATTAGTTTGAGCAGAAGTGATATCATTCATGTAATTTCTTTTACTCATCATGTTTTGAAACTTTATAAAAAATCTTTGTCATCTTGTGAAAAGTTAGAAGTATTTCTAACTTGGAGGAGGAAGCTAGAAGTCCCTCCTCCTTCTAAGCTTGGAGGAAACATAATTTACTTATCTAGGAAAAGTGCCTGACAGTTGTGGGCTCCTCTTCAGGTTAAACTTCTGCAATGATGAGTACAGAAAATGGGAAAAGGTATACATTTTAAAGTCCAGTTAATTAATAAGTTGTGGTTGATATTTTTTGCACATTGTAGGTATTCATTCAGAGCAGTGCATTGGGAGCATATCTTGTTTTAGACTAAAGAAATTAACTTCTTTATATGTAATAGCTGCAGAGCAACTTGGGAAACTGGTGATAGATCACAGATGACACAAGGGTGAGGCAGCACAGCCCATAGGGATTATGACATATTGCTTTGAATATTCAAAGCTGCTCTTTCTAAAATAGCAGAATGCTGCTGTACCTAGAAAAGTCAGGAAGGATAACTTTTGTTCTGAGAAATACTGATTTAACAGGGCATTAAGAATTATTTAAAGCTTATTAATTTATTGAGCTGTAAGAATGTCTGAATCAAAAAAAGAGCGAAAAACTATTTCAGCCTCCAGCCTCTCCTCCTTTCATATGAATTTGGTATCTGTGATCCACTTTTGAGAAATTGAGGGGTTTCAGCTGCTTCTGAACAAGATCATAAACCTGAATATCAGAGCAAATAATCAGTAACTTGATTCCCAGTGCAGCTGATCCTTAAATGACTGGTCTGTGTACAACATAAAAGAAGTCATTTATGACACAAAAAACCTTAATTGACTTTGACCTCTGTTCCAAGATCCTTTTTTTTTTATCAATCCAGTAAGTCATACCTGATTAGAATGGAGCTTTCTAAAGTAACCTAATTTATTTTTTCAATAGCAGCATTCATTAAAAGAGGATTAAAAAAAATTATTTCTCTAGTATTTTTGTCTACATCATCAGTGTTAACAGTTGCACCCTTTTGGAAGGCAAGGAATTTTATAAACCCCAGTTTTGAAATTATGTGGAGTAACTTTGTGGGAAAGGAAGAGAAGGTAGTTGCCTATTTTAAAGTTTCTGGAGTCTGACTTCCATTACTAGGGTTCCTGCTGAGATCTGTTGAGAGCTTCTGCATAGACAGAAATTAATCTGCAAGGTGCTGAGCTACTCAGCATAACATGTTCTCAGAATCCCTCAGAAAATGGGAAGCTGTGTCTGTAGAAAACAAACTTCATCCATCTCCTCCTTATTCTCCTACTGATGGCAGTTCTGAAGCCATATGGTAGAGCACAGGGTCAGAGATATCTAAATATGATTTTAAACATGCCTGTATTGCCCATTAAATTATGACTGAAAAAATATTAACTATTGCATGTGAAAAATAAGAAATCAAAGGTATGTGTGCCTGGCAAGGAATCTTTAATGTCTTTGGGTAAAGCACAAGGGATTTGGAAAAATAAGACCAGCTTCCCAGTCGCACTCTTCTCCAAAAAGCCTGTTGACTGTTTTTGACAGTACGTAGAAGCCTGACACAATTTTAAAAAAAAAACACAAAAAAAAAAAAAAACAACTTAATCTCTGCAAAAAATCTTCAGAAAGGCAAAATCACCTTTTATATGATTTGAAGGTGAGTGGAGAACCTTGCATTGGCAATGCTTTTGGTAACTGGGCTTTCTAAATGCCTGCTTTGACCCAGAGCTTTTAGGATCAGTGACTCTTACTTCCCAAATTAAGTATTCCAATATGAACAATACAGACTTTTGACATGAAAAATACATTGTCAACAAAATTAAATTATAAGATCTCAGACAAATTCTGATCCTATTTCACTGTAGTCTGTAAGTGAGGGGTATTTTTTGAGTATACTGTCTGTACCTGAATTTTGTAAGAAATTCAAACAAGTATATGAAACACATATATATTAAGCCCTTGAAATATACTGTTCTTCACAACTATGCTATGAAATTGTGATTTAACTCAGCTGCAGTGGTTCCAGTGAAAACAGAAACTATTTCAAATTCTGTCCCAGACGTTTTAAAAATGTTATGCAGCTCTAAATTTGTGAATTAATTACTTCTGGGAAATTGCCTTTTTTCCAGATTTTAATTGTCACTGTAGGCATAGAATATATAAAACTCAGTAGTGCCCTTTTCATGCAAAGGAAAAGATGGTCTTCATTCTTAAACAATTTTTTTTTTGTTTTATGCAAAGAATAGTGTCTCTTTAATACAAGAAGCCTGAAATTTCATTATCCTGCTGTATCCTACTCTTGGATAATTCAAAGGAATTGCCATTTAGTCTGAGAAATCTGTAAAGAAATGTTATCAGTTAATAGTTTGTATGACAGTACCAAAACCCTGTTCAGCCCAACCGAAATGTAAACCCTTGAGTACCCATAAGTCATTATCTGACTAGTCCTGATCTGCTTTAGTCAAAAAACTCTTCATGGTTTTATTTTTGGAAAGGTTAATAAAGCCCCACATAAAATCCTAATCTTAATTTAAAATGGGTTAGAAATATTCATCCTTTCCCCACACCCTTTCTACTTAGGCAGATGTTACTTACAGCACTTTAGAATTTAGATTTGTCTCTAGTTACTTCAGATGAATGAATGAGACTTCATTACACATATGTTACTATGGATTGCATAGACACCAAAAAAAAAAAAAAAAAGGCCAAATACTCTAACGATTCATTTACATTTCCTATGTAAATTGTGATGTTATTCAGTGTTTCTGAATACAGATAATTCTGCAGAGTTGCGGGTGGGTAGGAAATGGTACCTTACAGGCAATTTGTGCCTTCATTTTATACATGAGCAGGATAGTTTGGTCTAATTTCTTCGCTATTCTGTTATATATTCTCAGAGAAATAGTGTTTCAACCCTTCTTTGACAGTAATTAAACTTATTCCAGAATTGGTATGTTTTGTAAAAATCATTAAGCTGTTCATCTCTGTTTTTATGAAAGATGCACTATACAGTATGTGGGGATAAAATCAAATCAGTAAAATAAGCTTTTATTGAGAGACAATGCTTGGTTCTAAGTTGATCAGCACAAACATGTTTGACCATAGTTTTAAATTGTCTGTGTTCTCTATAGTCTCATGGAAAACAGGGATTCACTAGTTTGTCTGTCTATGTGGGAATTTGATTTCATAGGGCTGCAGGTAAAGATCTTTTTCAGCTTCAGGCACTGAGAAGCCTACATATGCATATTTATATATCATTTATGTGGCATTAACAAGAAATTACAAAAACTTTGCTGCAGTGATTGACCAAAAGGTCTTGTCTGGACAGTCAAACTATGAGCGCAAGAAGAAACGGCTAGAGCAACAAGCCATGCCTATTCAGATCTGTTCAATCATTCAGAGCATAGCTGGCTAATGCTGTTATAGGGAAAAGTACCATCACTGGTGTCATCACACTTCTGTTGGTCAAATTGTAAGAATGGTCTGTTCTTTAGCTTTTGTGTGGAAAAAAAAGAAGAAAAAAAAAGAAACTGATTTTGGAACAGTAATAAAGTATAAAATGCTGCAAGTATTTTGATAAAGTGAGTTAAGCTCTCTTGAAGTCATACCTTTTCAATGCAAATAGTTTGGAAGCTGTCAAGTGTGTCTTGAAAATGCAAAATGTTGTTTCCTGTTTGCAGTTGAACCATCCTTCCAGCAAGTATTTTGTGAAATATTTGAATAACAAGTAGACATAGAAACAGTTCAAGTCATTTTGCTTTAAACATTTAACTACCTTTGTTGCTATTTTCATCACTTAGCGCCTTTTCCTTGTCTTATGTATGTACTTAGTAAAATGTCACTTAGCATCTTCCTGAAAATGCTGACTAGGTGAGATACTTTGCAGCCATTTAAGTCTGAAAATCTGTGATATACTTTTAGTTCTCAATTTTCTACTTTCCAGACTCTCTCAGTGTGGCATATTAACTGTATCAGTGTTACTGGTTCAAGTCAGAATTCCTCTAAGATACAAACGATACCAGAAAAAGGAAAAAAAAAAACCAACCTTGTTTTTGCTACACAGTAACTGTATGCACAGTCATGAATACACTGCTTTACCAAGAGTAGCTGAAGCTCCCTGCAGTGATGTGTCCAGTTTGCTGCATGATCAAAGACAAACTTCATTTGTATAAAATGAGAAATATTGCTGTTGCCAGCCTGTCACTATTCAGTGCTGTGTCTTGATAAAAGTGGGTATGTGTGTTCTGTAGTCTCCAAGAGCTCTACAGAAGTGTGTATAAATTAGGGGTAAGAACAGCGCAGTGCAATTGCAACAGCTGTGTTCATTTCTCACAGCAGTTCTGCGATCAGACTTCTGAACTGGCTTTCTTGGAGGAAATTTCACTTATGTATAATATCACAAGCTGTTCATCTCTTTAAGATCTTACTTTATATTTTACCTCTCAGGTTGGTACAAGAGGATGTGGGAATGGACATCCCCTTAGCTGAGGGTGTTGTAAGTCCCAATTCTACAGAGATGAGACCTGGTGAGAGACACTCTTGCTCATTTTCTTAATTGTATCTTATTTCTGTGGCATTTAATTATGCAGTGAAAATGATGTTTCTATGCTGGTAAATAATCAGTTCAGTGTTAAAAAAAAAAAAGCATTAAGTTTGCTTTATTTAGTCAATTTTCTTCTTTACCTGAGAAATAATAATTGTAGTGTCACATTTTCTCTTGTGCATTGTTAACACTTTTTTGGTCTTCGGGAAGTTTTCATAATCTGTATTATGTATTTTATATTTGGATACTGTCTAAGTGAACTAACTTGAAATGTGCCATAAAAGGCAAAGACAAGGAGCAAAGGTAATCTAACTTTTGTCTTGTTGAATACTACTTCTATTTAGCACTGGCTAAGAGCCTCAGAGATTTTTTTATTTGTTGTTGTGTTGAGCAACATATTGTACAGTTAAAGCTAAAGACATAAATATTTGMAAATCAGCACCAGGTGCATAAGAAAATAAATATTTACAAAGGCTTTTCAGTCATGAATTTTCCCAAGACTCAGTAATGTCTTGATTAATAACTCAAATTATTTTATTTACTCTTTAAATTCATAAACATTCTGGGTCAGAGCATGTTCAAAACCTGATTTCTGTCTGATGATTGAAAAAAAGTGAATCTGGATTTAGCATAATTTAAGAGTTCTGAGCTACATCTGCTGCTCCTTTAGATTTTTGTTTTATTTCCTTTAACATGAATGTTGATATTCGTATTTTGTGTTAGATGGTCTTAAATGTCATGGTGTCACTAGAATTGATTTGTTCCAATGTTTTTAAAGGTCATTTTTGTGTCCTTGGGAGATTAATTGTATGTGGAATAGATAAAGCTTTTGGGTTTTGGGTTTTTTTTTATTTGTTTGTTTTTTTGTTTTGTTTTTTTTTTTAATTCAGAACCTCCCAATTCTCTTGATCTTAATGGTTCCCAACCCAGAAGGATAAAGCTCACTGCTCCAAACATCAATCTCTCTTTGGACCGGAGTGAAGGGTCAGTACTTTCTGATGATAATTTGGATACACCAGATGAAATTGACATTAATGTAGATGACCTTGACACTCCTGATGAAGCAGATTCTTTTGAATACACCGGACAAGGTAACATTCTAGATTGTAAATGTTGAGTTCATCTCTGTTTCTTTTTTTACTACTCACATGATCAGTCTCATGTCTTTCAGATTATCAGTATGGTTAAAGCATTTGAGAGTTAATGCCAAGCACTGAAGTATTTTCACTGTCTGCTATTTTTTAATCTTTATTCCTTCTGTTTAAAGAATTATCTTTCTATTTATTCAGTGTAGAAAGAAATAATACAGCTGACTTAAAAAAAAAAGTAAGAGCAACTACCTAGGGAGAATGAAATTCCAAGTCCAGTACCACAGRACTCATCTGAAAACAATTGTTGAAGAAGGGGAAAGCTGTTGACCATTGCTGTAGAGAGCACTATAGCCAACTGCAGCTTCTTGTAGTTCTAGGTTACAGTTAATCAGTCATATTTAGGAGTATAATTTTGTGCAAAATATGCTGGCTGCACCAAAGAGTACATAAGCAAGGTAGAACAATGTGCTGGGAGGTCTTTTATTAGGAAGAAAGGTCTACTTTATATTCTCATGATAGGAAAGCTGAGGTGTGGCAAGTGTGTGTATGGCATGATAATGCTAGCTCAGCTGATGGAACAAATAGAATTTATCATTCTACTAATTAGAATGTCATTTTTCAACAGGTCTAGCTGTACAATATAGGTGCACCCTGACATGTGCAATGGATACTTCATTCTTCCTTCACGTATTAATGATTTTCTCTCAGAGAAATATGAATGTGAAAGTTTCACTCACTTTACTTAGTTTCATGATGTACAAAATAGGGTGTTTCCTATTCCTTGCTAGTATCTTATAAAACATGTGAGAACTGTAACCGCTGATGTAAATACATACAGATCATAAGCTATTTGAGGGTAAAATAAGAGTGAACATTTTGCTACCTAGAGCAGAAAGAAACTTTAAAAATGGATCCATTCAAACTGAATTTTCCCATGCATTTACTTTGTCTGCTGCTAGTGAGGTTGCTGGAACATACAAGAACAGTTGCATCATTTTAAATGGTATTGCCAAAGAAGCATTACTCTGCACACAGTCATGCATGAGTTTCTCTAATGTTACTTCTCSTTAGGAGGGCGATTTCCTTATGGGTAGATGCAGAGTGTGGTGATGGGCTGCTTGATGGTTAGAAGATTTTACAACCAAGGTTAAAACTAACACACATATGGGCTCACATGCTTAGACTGGTTTGACCAGCATGTGAGAGGAAAAGTCTCTTTCTGCAATAGAACGGATTTTGYCTTTAAGCCCTCAAGTAATTAAATTCAACTCCAGTGATTTTGGTAACAGTTGTATTGACAGCAAGCATTTCTTCCCAGTGTTTTGCTGCTTTCTATTGTGATCATTCRTTCGGTTCTTAAAACTGGATCAATTTCTTCAAACTCCTAAGTGAAGGGATTCAGGTCTGTGTGGTTTGAGTGACATTTATACAGTTGTGCAGTTTGTTTTCAGACACTTAATAAWAAAAATGTCTTCCACTGAGATGAGCCAAGAAAAGAGTAGAAAAGAAAAACAAAAACAAAAACAAAAAAAAAAATCAGCATTTTATCGAAAGAAGTCAGCAATAAAAGACGTTAGCTATGTATAATGTTAATCTGATAGCTAAGGTTATAGTCATAGGAACTAATGCAGAAGGCTTATTTGCATGGTCAACAGACTTTACTATCTTTRTACTCCTTACTCTACTATTAGCTGGTATGCACTTTGATATTACCAGCACTCCCAATCTCCCACAGTTCAATGTTTCTAACTGCTGCCAAACCCCGGAAAGTAAATACTGGGAAAACATAGCTGCTGAGACCAGAGAGARCAGTGATTTTTGTCGTGATCAGACTGTTGAAGGTCCCTTTGAACTACAAAAGGTAGCAGAGTAAAGTAAGACTGTTATCATTGTTAAGGGGTCCACCTCATCACTGAAAAATGTCACTGTATTATAAGTAATACTGAAACCCATTTGTTAAAAGGAATGATGAAGAAGAATCATCGCAACTGCAACAAGCAAGAAAACAGATAAGAGCAGAAATACCAAAGTACTTGTCTTAACCTAGCGCCTCACTTGTTTTCAGGTTGATTGCTCATCAGTTTCACACAATGGGGTTTTTTGTCACTAATACCATACATTCCAACAATCTCTTTCGGAAGCCATGCTAGTTTCTGAAATTAGCTTTTATGATTATTGCTTCAGATGACATAAAATTTGCATTTCTGAAAACCGTATACGAACCATCAGTGAAAGCCGGCTCTCAAATCAGCACTATTTATAAAGTACRAGTGTTTATTATTTTTTATGCAGATACTTATTTTCTTTCTGAATTTCACAGTGGTGCATCTTTCTCTGCAAAATCAACACTCCAGGCAGTAAAGAAGAGCTACTTTATCAGGAAGAGGCCATTTCTATAAAAAGAAAKAAATATTTCTATAAAAAGAAATAATTTAATTTATGTATCCAATTTCAACATCCTAAGTTTTATCAGAATCTTAGTCATTTTCCCTTGTCTGCAGTTTCATCACCAACAAAAAAAAAGTTATTGAACCCCAAATACAATTTCAGCATTGGTCTGCCAGTTACCTAGCCCAGCCTCTTTTCATTAAAATTTGTTCTGCCAGCTACACTTATCTGCCTCAGTCACATTCTTTCTATCATACAGTCATCCTAGCCTGTGCTGATAATCCCATATATCTATTCTAAAAGTACCTGAGCTGCCTAATAGTATCCTGTGGAGACCCTATGCCCTTACAGGAATGGGCTCCCTTGGAATGGCTTGTCAGAGTTTGCACAGCTTTTGTATTGCTACCAACAGTACTTTTGCAAAACTGACAACATACAAAATTGCACTAAGGTRTCTAGGTTTGGAGGGAGTGGGGTTATGTGTTGTGTAAGCTTGTTCCCAGTGTCACAGAATGTGTGGTATTTCAAGGCTGAATGCATTGTTAACCATCACAAGCATTATGCCCCGAAAAAGACATGAGTATATACTTTAGTTCCTCAATATATAATCTGCTGAGCATCAACTCTTAAACCAATTCAAAATACCATACTTGAAAAAACCACACCTTTATTCAGACTGTCCTTCTTTCCAACCTAAGATCTCCTCAAGCTTGCTTTATTTGGAGTTCCTAAGGAAAAAAGGCTTAGGTGATCACATTATAGGTTCATGTRTATGTATTTCTAGCTTTTTCATCCCTGTTGCCACCATCAATACMATTTTATTTGAATATGTTTTTAGCTCACTGGCTGGTTAGACAGTGAGGTAGGAGGTGAAATATTCTTCCTTTCTTTCAAGATTCCAGCAGGCAGGAACTAAGCAAAATAGAGGTTTCATTGTTCATGAGGGAATCTGCCTCAGAGAGAGGCTCCTTCTCCCAGTATAATTCTCTAATTATATTTCGTATTAGATAGGCAGCAATAGAAATTCAGACTTTTTTATTTCTAGTGTAGCAATAAATATGTGCTCAACCTGTATTTTTTAGAATCTCTTTCTGTGTGCTTAGAGAAGCTTGCTGTGCCTAACAGATTTGGTGATACTATTGATAGGTTTTAATGGAGAAGTTAGTTTTACAAATTAGTAATTAGTACATRTATGTATATGTGCATGTATCTTCTATGTAGATATATGTGGTGTATATATACAGTATACTATCATATTCCTGATTTCATAGATATCTGATTTAATTTTATGATAAATTAGTGTGTTTTAGGGATCATATGCTTCACTTACTGTGAGTAGTTCAAGAAGCAGCATTAATCAAAGTGGTGCATCTGTAGGTAGCCCAATACACAGAAAGGTTTGAGGGCACCTATGAAACATGGTGTTCTTTACTTCTTGTCATTTAAAATTGCTTTTCTTAGTTTATTCGTAGTTTATTCTCATAGATCTCCTTGGTATTTTCAAATAGGATGTCTGCAGCTTTTTCTGTACAGATGTGTATGTCATTAGGTGTTTCACTCATTGTTTGCCATGAATTTGACTTGCAATTCAAGTTCTGCTCTTATTGCTGCAGAGCCAGAATATTGCTTTAAAAACAATAGTTTGCTTCAAATACGTGTCATGCATAAAATTTACAGAACCTTTACTGTGAAGGTAAAAGAATAATATGCACATGGAAGCATGTGGCAGAGGTGCTTCAGCAAGAATAGTACAACAGAGGCAATTTTTTCCCCCATGAAAAACACAGTGTATCATAACCACGCTAAAGGGGGAAGTAAATAATTTTGGCTGTGGACATAATCACATTTCATGTCACTTTCTCTGTRAACAGCCATTAAATTTGAAAAAATTGGAATGCAGTTAAATTTGTTGAGAAGAATCTGATCAGTGTGCCATGAAAATTTATGTAGATTTAATGTATTTAGATTTAATGTATTACCTCACAAGATTTTTTGAAAGTAGGTATTCAGTGGAGAGACTTTATAGTCACTTGTCAGCCATATAGTTAATTTTTGGTGGTCATTGTGTCTGCAGACTGTGCGTGCGTGYTGTCTCTAGGGTGCTTATAGAATGGGTCAGACCGCCTGGCTGCTCTATACTTCACATCTGTGAGAGAAATGGTATTTAACTTCAGTCAATCCTAGGGGGAGGTAACTACTCTGCTTATATGAGGAGTCAGCATGACTGATTTGGAGGAAGATGAGTATTCTTCATATTTGGTGATAGTGGATGTAAACAGATTGGAGACAAACTGGGAAAAAATTGAGAAGCTGTAGCTCTCTGRCAGTTCTCTAAACAGGAAGTATTGTTGTGTTTATGCTTATTTTTTGGTTTTGTTTTTGTTTTTTTTTTAACATAATTGTCATGCCTGCAACACAGATTTTAGAAGGCCTACCTTGCAATAACTGTAGTTATTGCAGCCTCACAGTTTACCAACTGGATGCAAAAATCCCTTTGTGGAATTCTGCGTGATGATAATTGCTTTTTTTTTTTTTGTCTTCATAATGATGAAAAGTCTTTCAAAAAATGGAATCTTCTCGTTTACTGACTGTCAGATTATCACATTCTGCTCTTAAAGCAGCACTGTAAAAATCCAGTGAATTTCAGTCATCCCTCTCAAATATATGTAACGCAAAAGTATTTAGAACTTTAACAGAAAGGGGTAATACGTACAGTTTTACTTTTCAGAAGACCAGGCTGCTGCTAAGGATGCTTCCCAGGAAGAGTCTGAATCAATTCCAGAGTACACTGCTGAAGAGGAGCGAGAGGACAACAGGTTATGGAGAACAGTGGTTATTGGAGAACAAGAACAGAGAATTGATATGAAAGTCATTGAACCATACAAAAAGGTCATTTCACATGGAGGTAGGAGAAGTTGCAAGCATTTTTTTAATWTATGTAAAAAAATATATGCTTTATTGATCATGATTTCTTTTTATTTTCATTTAGTTATCGTACTGTCAGGGGGAGAGAGAATTTAGTTTTTCAGTCTTGGCTGAAATCAACCTGGATTTCAACTCAATGTGGCAATGGCTAATAAGAATTTTATATTTAAAGCTATTTCAGATGCAGTATCCTGACATATATGTGTCAGGAACGATTTGGTCACTGTAGGCTAAAACTGTTTTGAACAAAGAAAAAGACCTTTGGCCTACAGCAAATTAAAATTTTGAAAACCTTTTTTAGTAGGTTTTGACAAAAGCTTTTGCATGAAGGAGTGTAATGTTCTGTGATTTGCTGAATGATGTATGTGGTTTCACTAATCTAAACAAGTGGCAAAAGAAAAAAGATCATTCTCCCTGGGGCTTACATTCATCTGGCTACTAACCTTGTGCTATTTTTTCTGCCATTTGTAGTTGTCAGCAGCATTTCACCAGGAACTGGCTTATGGGATGTTTTTACATAATTTGTTAATGATACTTAAATAACATATCAAAGAAAACATTTAAAGTAAAAAAAATTACTCCCCATGCTTGCTATATTTTCTCATTTGCTCATCTGCTTCCAAGCTTCCTCAGAGAATTTATAGTTTTGGTGTTGGTAATACACTTCTGTACAAATWAATTCAAATGGATAAATATTTCTATAAAGGTTGAAGGAAGAAAATGAAACAAAGCTTTCTAAGTGCCTTTTCTATGGTATCTCAGGTTTAGATTATCTTGGATTCTGTATTTTTGGGGGACATTTTATTATCCATTAAGAAAGGCATTAGGTTAAAATGACTTGTCTTATTCTTGAAAAACGGAGGCAGGCTACTTAGCACGTCAGAAGTAAGATTTGTGAGTTTATAAGGGGGTGCTTTTGTCACAATGTTGTTTATCTGCAGCATCAGTTAAAGATATTAAAATACTAAAGTAGAATTTTTTCAGTGTTAAGCCTCTATCTGGTAAAATTACATAAATAAATTATGGTTAATTTTTACATTAAAAGCAGCTAAATTATAGCCGACAGGTATTCACAGTGGCCAGTGTACAGGAGGTTTAATCACAATTATTAAAGATGTTTAAGCCTCCAAGCATTTTTCCACTAACACTACCATCAAAGATTTATGAATGTGGTGACACCTCAGACACAGTTTAGCAAATATACACAGATGGCTTAATTTAGGAAACAAACACAAAATATTTTGGGGCCTTGCTAATATTGTTTATTTGTGTATTTTTGTATGCTGTAAACTAGCCWATATGCATTTGCAGTAAAAACTTGTGTATTTCCTAGATGTTGACATATATGTTTATATCATATCATATATGTTTATTTTGTGAAAAATTAATGTTTAATGGGAGACTGGGTAATTCAGCTCAACTCTCAGTATGAAATAATTTGAATTAAAATTTTACATGTTTGACATTTTGATTTGGTAGCTTACTGAAATGTAAGACAAAGACCATTAAGTTTGCTTTCGAAAGGGTGCTTGTCAATAGCATTAATCATTGTTAAACAAACAGTGTGAGATGTAACAATAAGGTTCAGCCTGAAACTGCCTAAACTGGAAATATTTCCTGATATCTAAGCAAACCGAAGCAAGTTAAGGACTGCATCAAATTCTGTGTTTATGAAGTGGCAGATACAAGATGAGGAAACAAAATAATTTTGTTACTTCTGTTGAGGGAAACTTCAGATGGCTCAGTTTCTAGTTGTGAAAGCTAGGCCCATTGTGTATCAAGCTCTCTTTAGCAATACGTTAGTGTTTAGGGTGCCAGGAGTCTTTTCTTTAAGCTCAAGAACAGTAATAGGTTCTGACTAAAATTAGTCAACTGGAAATTAAGTCAAGCGTCTCTTGATGATTCAGAGATCTACTGAACATTCTTGCCTGCCAAAAGACAGATAACAACAAATGTGGGATCTAGGTGGTAGTCACAAAATAAGAAAGGGGAGAGTAGACTTGGCAGTGTGGGTTTAGATTGTTTTCAATATATGCCAATAGAGAAATTTCTGAAAGAACTTTCTCTTTTCTTAGGCTGAGATTTTGGGGAAATGGCTTTTACTGGCTTTTAGTGATGAATTAAAATGCACTTGTCCCTCGGGTGAACATTCCTTCTCTTCAAGCATGTGTGAGGAAAAGTGGCTTAGCTTTATCTGTGGGTTTTCCTTCTGTGTGTTGTTAGTTAGCATCTGCACATAATCATTTTGCTTTCCATGAACTGCAAACTGTGCTGTGTAATTTACTGGACCCACCTGCCACAATGTGCCCTTACTGCCAAATTCCTGTGCCAACTGGACAGATTGGTTTATGGCATCATGATATAAAGTCTATTAAGATTTTATTAAATTTATGGAAGGAAGGAAATAAGGAAATGTCCTCCCTAGTTCTCTCCTTATAAACCTGATAGGGAGAGAAATATGGCTTTATTCCTGTTGTTGTTTAAACCCAGCTGGCAAGCAAGCCCCACACAGCCACTCACTCACTCCCACAAGGTGAATCATAAGAACAAGTAAAGTCTGAGGTTGAGATCAGGATAGTTTCATATGTAAAGCAAAACCTGTGCACACAAATAAAGCAAAACAAGAAATTCATTCACCACTTCCCAAGGACAGGCAGSTGTTGAGCTATCTTCAGGAGACCAGGGCCTCATCACAGGTAAGGGTGACTTGGGAAGACAAAAGCTATCACTCCAAATATCCCCTCCTACTTCCTCCTTCTTCCCCTCCTGAGGATGATGCCATATGGTCTGGAATATCCATATGGTCATTTGGGGTCAGATATCTTGGCAGTGTCCCCTTCCCAGTCAAAGTTCTTGTGCACCCTTGGCCTGCTCCCTGAGGGGTGGGGGCAGCAGAAGTGGGGTGAAAAGCAGAGAAGGCCTTGGTGCTTTGTGAGCACTGTGCAGCAATAAAAAAAAAAAATCTCTATATTACCAACCATCTCWTTTCAGTGCACATCAAAACCACAGCCCCATATTTGCCTCTGTGATGGAAATTAACTCTCTCCCAGCCAAGACCAGCACAATTCCAAATAATCTAGCTGAATAATAATTTGTGCTTCAAACAGGACTGGAGTTCCATGAGCACTTTAGTTAAGCTTGGATTTTGCTCTCTAGTATCCAGAAAGCTCTTAAAGTAAAAGTCTTAAAATCTCCTTATGGAAAGGACTATCCTTTCATTTTTTTCCAGAGTATGTTCCTATCTGTGAGGAGAATTGAAGTTCCCTTCACATATATGACCATCTCTCCCTCGTGCTCAATCTTTTCTAGACTCAAAAAGCTTTCAAATGTCTCTGAGAACATCCATCTTCTGTCTCTGCGCCGCCAGTGGTATCTACCTGCCTCCCAATTGCATGTGTACTTTAAGTAAAACTTTCAACTGAAATGCAGCAGTATTTTTCATTTATTATTAATGATAAATATGGAAAATCCATAGCAGCTGCAAAAGATTGTGGAGAAGATTAACCAACATTAATCCATCATGGGGAAAAAATACTTTCTTTTGGATAATAAGCAGCTRTCCTGGACCGTGGAATGGTAGTGCTGCAGCTTTGAAGGTTTACAGCTATCATKAGGCAGTGATGTGGCCTGGGGAATGCCAGTATTGGACAACTGGAGTATGCAAGGTTAAAAAGTAATTTATACAAAACCTGCAGCAAAGGATTTAACTCATCTCTAGGAGCTTTTAAGGGAAAGTCGGGTGCAATCATAATTGGAATATTCTAAAGCCATTGGAGCTGCAGAGGCCAGCTGAGACTGGACTGCATGACTTTGTGAAATACAATTCAAACTATGCAGGACAAAAAATGTAGGATATTGTCTTTAGCGCCTTTTATTCCTCAGTCTGAAGTCAGCATTCAGAACATGATTGTTATAGAGCTGCAATGAGGCAAAAGCAGAAGCTTTTGAAGGGTTTTTTGCTGGTCTCTCTAAAAAGTTTACCAATAGTGTACTATGTGTGTTTTTTGAGAATTCAGTTTAGCTGACTATCCTACTTTTTTATCACTTTATGGTAGTTCATTCCTTCGGTGTGAAGCATTTTGGTAAGCTTGAGCTGTAGACATAGTAGCTCTGTCACAGGACTTAGAGACTTCTTTTTAAATTTGTCCTGTTAAAAGGCTTGACAAAGATAAAAATGCATTTTCTTTTTTTTTTTTTTCCACAGGATACTATGGTGATGGTCCAAATGCTATCATTGTGTTCGCAGCATGCTTCTTGCCAGACAGCAGTCGAACTGATTACAACTATGTCATGGAAAATCTTTTCCTGTGAGTGATATGTGACCAATGTGACAGAATCTTTTGAGTTAGTACTCGTAATTGTGAGAGGTAACCTGTCTTTACTTAAGAGGTAATTTTGGTCGTTAAAAGGGGAGTGACAAGGAAAATAGCAGTTCTGGATAAACTGCTCAGTGSAGTATTATTTTGGTATCCTTTACCTACTCATCTTCTCAAATTAAGGTGTATTTCCTAGGACCAAATGTGACTGTTAGTATCTCCCTAAAGGTCAAAGAATGCAGTGTCTCCAACTTGTTGGGGCTTCAGTATTTGTACTGGTGATTTCTAGCTCTTGCTGARTACAATCAGCAGGGGCTTAGAATATTTTTCATACTGATTGTCCATTATATATTATCATCATGTGTCACTGAATGTATTTTTAATATATGCTGGAGTCACAGGGTCATTTTTTGACACTTGCTTTTTAAAAACAGGATAAATGGCAGTTGTTGACACAAGCAGCTCTAACTATGCTTCCTGACTCCAGCTGTTTTTGATTCAGAAGTGGTAGAGACCAGTTGGGCAGGATGCAAATTTGGCCTCATAACCCCAGATTTATCACGGGAAAATTATTCCTAATAGCAGTTGGTTTGGCGGCCAAAAATTTTGCAGGCAGCACTCTCCTGAAGTGCCTTGAACTGCATCCACCTACAGCTGTTAAAAAGTCAACCATTCCAGTGTTTTCTGTGCTAAAATCAASTAAGTAATTCCCAAAGCCAGCAGGAGACCTGGGCTTTGCCATTTGCAGTTTATAGGGCACTGAGAGCACAGACGCAGGTTTCCTTAATATTCCAGTCTGTGAATGTGCACTTGTTGGCAGCCTGTGCCTTTAACATTGTCTCTCTGTGTGAAAATCAAGACTGACCAGTCTTGATTGTTTTCAGTTTGACCAGTTTTCGTTTCTGGTCAGAACAACTSATATCATTTGCCTGGTAGAGCCTCTAAGAGCTCAATGTCATCTATAGTAACAGATATACACACAATGTCCAATGATTTAGAAGAGAGGAATTAATTACTACAGTGGTTGTAACTTGATAAGTAAGGAACAAAGCTGAATGTAACCATGACTGTCATTCGTAGYTGTTTGTCCTCACCCAAGACCCTTGTTCAGATAGAGCTGGTGGTAAATGACCTTTGCAGAGAAAGCCTTAAGAGCCTTTTCCACATAACTTAAGGATCTTGCCAAAGTTAATTTTATAAGTCATGTTTTCTGAAGTAGTAATATAAATGTGAATTTACATTGGCTGTGAACCTGCAGCTTATGTTAAGGCTTATACATGGTTGGCACTCTCTAAGGCAACAAGAAAAGAGAATATGTTCACTCCTTTCTTTTAGTTTTGGGCCTATTCATTGCATGAAAATAAAGGGAGTGCAACAGTTTACTAAATATGCAATTACTGATATATTTAAATATTTGATAATTCTTTACTACTGAATTATACAGGGATCTGGAGAGACCTGCAAAGCACTGCATCTCTTTTCCTTTTTTTTTATACAGCATATTTCTGGTAGTAAATAACCCATCTCTAGTTTCCGATTAACAACTGTCCTCAATTGTTCATGAGTTTTGTCGTTGCTTTCCTATGTGAATTCCTTTCACATTTCCAGTTATTTTTTTCCTATTTGTCATATTGCCTGATTCTATAATATTGTATTTGGAAGGTGGAGTTTGGGTGAAAATGCTTGAAATAGCTTCTGCAGAGTTTTTGTAGGTAATGCAGAAGTGCACAAAAAAAAATCTGCTGTTTCATTATTGCTGCCTGAAAGTCAGATTAAAGCCAGTCTACAGATTCTTTTTTTTTTCAATTAATCTCAACTTGGAAAACTACATTTTAAAAACAAAACCATCACTTGGCTTTCAAAGTGAGTCAGTTGTTCTAGTAAATGAGAAAATTTCTGTCCATCTTTTCAAATAATGAAGAAAATGCCATTATTACCAAATAATAAGAAATTACTAGGTAGGTAAGCGAGCTCAACATCCTCAAAATGGCAAGTCGTCTAATTCAACCTACATTGCATAAGAGCTTTTGAAAGTATGTGAGATAAGTGAGATGTGACTAAAAAACCAGCAAAGATTCCATTTTGTCTTAATAGTCCTCCTATTTCTGGTGAGAAATACACATGATTGTTCTTACTGTAACCAATTATTCATAATAATAGGCACAATTCCCTTTGGAGTTTATAAATAGAAATTTTTCAAACTTTTTCTRTGACTGAAAGACTTGTAATGTTTTCGTACATATATACACACTTCTGTGTATTTCTRTGTTTTAAATGCCTTTAAAGCACTAGATGTTGTCCCACGTAGGAAGGGCATAACCTGTCAAATAATAGGCTTTATTAAAGTAGCTATTTAATTAAGCTTTATGCATCAGATTGTCCATGCAATCCTTTGCTTTCCTATTTCACTGTTAGACATAAGCCTTCACAAATGTCAGCAAAAGCAGGGAATTCACAAGGTAAGAAAGAACAAGGTGAGAAAGAGCAGTGAAATGTGCTGAGGGAGTTGKGAATAAGATGGGGTTTACCAAATGCATGGAACTGGTCTAGTGAAGGGCTGCCTACTTTATGCCCAGGTAATAAAAAAAATAGCACTCTCTGGTGAGAACTAGATTTCCCACAGTTCTTTTGAACACRTTACATCCTAAGGAATTTAAGGGTCAGATTAGATTGTGAAGCATTCCCATACACCTGTGAAAGGGGCTATTATGCTTCAGGATAGAGCTGCCTTTTGTAGCAAGCACACTTAGGYATTCAGGTTTTTAAGGTGTGAGTTACGGTTTTTCATTCTAGTTTTTACAGAGGCATGCCTTGAGGGTAGATGCAGAGAGAAGAATTTGAGCATTCCTGTGATGATCACATCCCCAGTGGGGACTGCTAAATGGAAACATCTGCATAGATAGTCCCAAACAAGAATTTAAAACGATACTTTTGCTTGAATGAGAAGTGTGCTCTTCTATGTAGGATAAATGTCACTGCAGAGTACTCCCAGTTAGTGTTGGGAGTGTTTTGCGTACAAAATGAAGTGATGTCAGGTTGATGGACAAGTCTTATTAGCTTTGAGTTTCAAAGTGTTTGTGTTTTGCAATCACAGACTTGATAGCAGTAGTGTGAGGATCACAAGAATTATGAACAAGTGTGTTCTGACACTTTGAATTTTTGCATTGCACCAGTGATAATTAGAATAGTGAGTAGGAGTTTCTCAACAGTTAATTTCAGAAGTTCCTAGTGTTGGAAAATGCTGCCATGTTCTCCCTTCCAAAATCAACTGACTTAATGTCTTTTTAAGAAAAAGCAAATTCATCAGTGGTATTTSAAAACTCCCTCTGAAACTCTGTATTTGTGAGGAAACCACATATTTCTGAAGACACAGATAAGATTGTGGCTTTCTAGTTACGTATCTACAGGTACCATGGTGACCAGTGCTAAATGTTTGCTTTGGTTTAAAGGAAAAGAAAAACCTGTCCTGTCACAAAGTGCTTGATCTGGCTTGATTTATTTCTAGTAGACACTTTAGTTTGGGCTYAAGCAGGTAGTGTACAACATATGCTCACTGGCATCTGTACTTTTATCAGATATGTAATCAGTACCTTAGAGCTGATGGTGGCTGAAGACTACATGATAGTCTACTTGAATGGAGCAACACCAAGAAGAAGGATGCCTGGATTGGGTTGGATGAAAAAATGTTATCAGATGATTGATCGACGGTAAGTAGTATTTTCCTGTCTGATCACAGACATTATTTTAGACACTGTCCATTTCTGTAACTCTCTAAAATTGCATGCCAATGTTTACTGTATATGCTCTTCCTGTATCTCCTGTGTTTTTTTCTGTTTTTTAAAGAAACCATTGCTTTTTTACTTAGATTGCGGAAGAATTTGAAATCCTTTATAATTGTTCATCCATCATGGTTTATCAGGACGATTCTGGCTGTGACACGACCTTTTATAAGGTATGTAATAAGCACCAGTGATTTGCTATGTCACTAAGAATGCATAAGCACCCTAAATCATCAAACATGGCTGTTAATCTTTCTCTGAATAGTGCTCATTTTATCGCTCATGTTGGTATTTTGGCAGTTGAGTAGGGGAAAAAATGTGATTTATACAAGTGTGTAGTTGCAGATGTCATAGGCATGATTTTGTGTATTTAAAGGGACCGAATTCCCAGCTTTAAACTTYGTTAGAGCCCAGATAAGAGGCATGTAGAAATGGGGACGACATGTATGATRATCACCTTATTTTAAAAATTCTGGCTACAGAGTAAGATAAAGCTAAAAAGTTCTGTTTTTTAAAATATCATTGCTTTTCATACAAGAGGACTGTCTGCACCCTGAGGTGTTTGAGTTCATTTGGTTTAAGAAAGGTTTAATGCTGTCAAAAATTAAAAAAAGGTTACCAACTTTAAAGACCTTGCACTTACTGCAGAAGAAAAGATGCAGTTGAAATCCTGAGATCAGGGAGAGCAGACTGGCAGGTAAAAAAATGTTGCCTCAAGCAAGGGAAGCACCATAATCTACAGAGCCCAGACAGTGAATGACATATGTCATTTCAGATCTCAGAGAGTTCTGCTCACAGACTGCAGGTGAAGAAGTTGGAAATATCTTGTCACAGAGTGCTGTGTCCTGACAGACTGACATTGAGATGGGGAAACATATGAGYTGTCCCATTGCTGCACAAGTGCAGYAGGCAGAGTRTCATAATGGAGCTCCTTTCTAGATGTGGTATCTTTAAGACCAAGTAGAAAGTGACAATTCAAAATACCAGAGTATCAGGGAAACAGTACTTGAAATTATCAATAGTAGTTACTAGGATTTACTGAGTTGCATTTGGTTTCTGAGTTATTTCCTATTTGCTCCTGTTTGCATCCTGTTTTCTCCTAGAAATGGCAGTTCAGTTTTTCAAAGCTATGTCTGTTTCATTCACTAGTTATTTATTCAAGATGACCATACTAARCAGCAGTGAATAGAGGTTTTTCATTGCCAAACAGAAGAAAATGTTCACTCTAAATAGTTTATCAAAGCAAATTAGCAGTACAAAACTAGACWYATTACCCTTCSCTTCTCCTTCCCCTTCTCCCCAGTGAGAAGGACTGAGGAGATAAAGAGATAAAAACTTGATTATATTGAGGGGTGATGACTATAGCTCAGTTTGCTAGCCCTGAGCTATTCCCCAAACCCCTGACAGTCACAGTGGGAATTTTAGAGTAAGAAATTAATTGGTCACAGGGCAAGCAAGGATTTCAGCGAGGTAGCTAAAGATGAGCGACATAATTTTGATTGTTTATCAGCTGAGATGTGGTTCAGCAGTAGAAATCAAGAACCTAAAGGACAACAAAATTATAAGGGCCAGTCACATCACTGAGGGTGTGATACCTACAACCCTACCTCAACTCTATCTTAATTCTATCTCAAAAACTGGTGAGAAAATTCAGTGGAGTCTGGGACCCATCTTAACTGACAAACTATTGTCAGAATATGAGAATGAAAGAACTAGCAGAGGTAGATCTTAGATACTCTTTTAGAACCCTAAGTCTTATAGATATTCACTCCAAAAATTATTTGAGCTGTGTCAGATAAGGAATTAGATTTCTAATAAAGGAACTGTCTGTGAAACATTTGGCATTGGGTGAAAATATTTAAATAGTGGGAAGTTACCACTATTGGCAGCACACTTTCCCTGAAGACTGAAAGAAACTGTGTCTGGGATGCCCACACACTAACTCCCACATGAAGGRATTACTTAGGAGTCAGTCACTGTAGTGCAGTGGATCCAGAAAAACCTTCAGGAGGAAAAATTACTGTTTGAAAAAATTTTAATCCTTTCGTGCCATCTCTAGAAGCTTATGATTGGCTTGCAACTTGCCAAGTTACTTTAGCTGGAGTTCTGATGCTGCAGATTATGATTAATATTTTGCATAAAATGCTGAGAATTATCAGTGTGTTACTGTGCTTTGACTAGACAACTGTGATTAATTCTTGCATCTAAAATGTGACCATTGGTCTGATGCAGTGTGTGTGCCTAGTGATGTCGATCTGGTACAGAGACAAATTACAGTGAATGATCTTAAACATTTAGTCTCACCTTACCTTCTTGGGAAGATATATATATATATATATATATATATATATATATATATATGTACTGAGAGGAGAGGCAGTAACCTTCTGCTCGGAGGTATTTTGGAGGCTTCATGTTGTCTGGCTATACCTGCAGGTCAACAGTAAATAAGAGGAATATGCTCTGTTTTTCATGACCTATACTTCAAGTATGTGGTCAAATGAGTTTTCCCCTATAATTAATGTTACAAGATGATCTAAATACAACCAGAGCTAAATTTGAAAAATTGCTTTATGAGCCAAATGAGAAACATAAATGTATCATAACCTCACACATATCAAATAACTTAGGTTTGACAGGTGAGCAGCCTTATGTTTTCAGTGTGTTTTCTGAACAATTTAGCTTTTTTTCGAAGTGATCATTTTTCAAGCACAATAAATGAATTATACAACACAGATGAAATAAACAAKGTATTTCCTCATAAAAAGGCCCTGCAGAAAGAATAGACACAATCAGATCTATACTGTTCTGAACAAAAGACAAAATTCAGTTTTATTGTGTTTGATTGAGAATTRGTGTAAAATAGAAATACTAAAGTCATCACAATCACTTGATAACCATCACRGTGATTATGTCCAGTAATGTTTCCCATCTCCTATTACATGTAAATAGTTTGTAAGGGGTTTGATCCTTTTCTGAATTTGAGCACATTTTCTTCAAACTKTGGAAGTGATCACATTGTCTAGTGTGTAGGCATTAAAATTTATKATGTTGTCCTAAAGACTGTGATTCAGCCTAGGGAGAAAACAGGGATAGGTATAGGCTCGATTTCAGTCTTACTAGAATTCAGGTAGGTTCATGATCAGCTGAATTCTATGTTAAGATATAATTACTAAAATTATTAGAGAAATGTCTCTGTCTGAATTAAGGTGCATACAAGAACATTTGCTGAAGTCAAGTCAGTACAGACTTTCATTTAGCAGTAATGTGAGGGACAGATAAAAAGAAATAGAATTGATGTGGGGAGAGGAGAAAGAGCGTGACACAGAGACAGACTGAGTAGAAAAAATATTATCACTCCATGATCCTGATGGTGTCCTGTTGGTCCTTTTCTTCTGGTCCTCCTGGTGTGAGATTTCTAGTCTTGTCACAGTGATCTAGTGGGGAAAGCCTACAAAACKCAGAGTCCATTTATATTCACTCCAGTTCAAGTGGCAATGACCAGGTACCTTGCCTTCTAAGATGTTACAGCTGCCTCTCACATCAGCAAAGTTGAGTCATTTGCGGTCCACCAGTTTCATCAGGGATGAATACCTTCGAGCTATGTGTGATTGTCCCGGTTCTTTCCTTAAAGGAGCTTTTCACACCTGCGAAAACTTACACATTGTGTAAGAGAGGACATTGGCATGATAAAAAGCACTCTCCCACCTCACTGGATGTGCCTCTTATCAGCCTATTTCAGCTGTGTCAGGTGGATTGTGTTACTAATCGTTAGCAATCCAGTCTCTCACTCTGTAATTGAAATGGTTTTAGTATGTCATAAAAGATTGGGGGATGAAGTTAATTAATACTTTTTTTTTCTGTGTTTCAGCTCTAAGTTCAGCAGTAAGATACAGTACGTCAACACATTGGCAGAGCTTCATGAGATGATTCCAATGGAATATGTGCATATACCAGACAGCATTATCAAGTAAGTGATGTACAGTAAGCATGTACTTGTTCTAATGGAAAATATTTCCACAAACTAATAATAGTGTTAAAGACTGTAAGAAAAACAGAAAGCACTTTCCTGACGTTCTTTAAAATTATTATGTGTTCTACAAACATTTCACTGTCAAACTCTGAAGCAGGAGACCACTGTGTATTGGAAACACAAAACACAATATTTGCTTCTAGGGGAGTGGGAAAATAGTTTGGCGTTTCACGTTTCCTGAGATATCATCTATGCCATAAGTTTTCATAACTTTTACCACTATTTAAGTGAAAGTGTTTTCAAGTTTCAGTCATGCAGGGCTTTGAACACGAACATTAATTAAAAGATAGCCTGGTCAATAGAAGACCACTGAGATTCCATAGATTTACTGTTCCTTATCTTGTGAGTTTTCATGGTTAAATGCAGAACCACTGAAAGATGTTTCTCAGTTCTTGCTGCTTATGTATAGAGGCTTTTTAAATACAGGTATTTCCAAAGGAAAATATCTRTTACAAAATTGCAAGAAGTTGTTTGGCGTTGCTCACCTCAACTGACTTTTTTTCAGACCTGGAAACAACAAAATGGTATGCCAAGGCTGAAAATATGACTGAAAAATTCCATGGTTTTCATTAGTCATTATTAAAAGGATATACTGTTAAGGAAACTTTTTTTAATTGTTCTTTTTAATGAATGTCCTAGATTTTGAGCAGTCTATTCTAGAAGGTAGTTTGCACAAGTATGATTATATTTACATTATGATTGGTCAGGAGTTGTCATAGATCTCTTCAACCCAGGCAGCTGTTTTCACACCTCTTTCACAGTAGTTGCTAAGCAATTTCCTTTGTCAGGCTGGTAGTGTAATTCAAGGAAGCAAGTGGGAAGCTCAGTTCTGGCAATGGCAGTTGTAAAAACAGTAAATTACAGTTGTGAAATCAGGGGGCATAGAGACTTTCACTCAACTTCATTTGCTGCTGTAACTTCTTTAGAGGTAGAGTGACGCTAAGAATGTGGAGCAGAGGCCATTGGTCAACCGACAAAATGATATCCATAATGTTTTAATGTTTTTAATGCTTTAATGTTTTTTACTTCCCTAATAAGTTTTCACTTTTTCTCTCCCTCTGTYCCTCTGTCCCTCTGTCCCTCCGTCCCTCCCTCCCTCCCTCCATCCCTTCCTCTGTGTTTTGATTCCTCTAAACATTTTGATTTCTGATAGTTCCCTTTGATAGAAACTTTACCATGATGCTCAGAGAATTTCTTTTTCCTTGCTGTGTTATACTGATATACTCGGGCAGTACACACACCTGTGTTGTATACATTTTTTCTTCCCTGTAGGCGTAAAAATGTTTGAAAAGTCCATTCACCTCTCAGACCAAATTATCACAGCACTCCTACCAAAGAAATGCTAATACTTACAGAGTTTTAGGGAGCTGCCCTAAAACCATGATTTTGCTGAAAAAGACAGAACTGGAAAGATGACAGTTGTGCCTGTTGGTGGCAAGWGTTTCAAGATGTTGTAATAACAAGATTTAGTGTCTGTGTGTGTTCAAGGTGTTTGTGAGTGGCTGTTCCCATACCAGAGGGAGAAGAGTAGTGTTCAGTTCATAGCTTCCCTTCTTCTGCAAACAGAGTGAGATTCCTCTAGAAAAATATGATTCATCCTTTGGCTTCATAATTGTTCCATTGCCAAGAACAAATATACCACCTATGGTTCATGAAAATCCCACCYTTAGCAAGTTCATAGAGTTATGCCAGAATTTGGGTTGTGTGGTTGTTAGTTTTTAGTGAAGTGGGATACAATATGCGTGTTGTACCATATGAACTTGTACATCTTTTCTCTTCCTTCATCCACTCTTATCTTGTAAGGTATGATGAAGAGAAGTGTATTAAGAGAAGAATGAGGTAAAACTTGCTTTCTAACCCCTTCTGCTGCTCATAATGGAGTGAATCTGTGTGAAAGCCTTTCACCTGCAGGCGACCTCAACAGCTGAATGAGAGAGGACTTGCAATGATTTGGAATCTTACTTTCCCCTTCAAGCTGTTGAGATCAGCCTCCCTTGCAAATAAAACTCTCTGAACTGTAAACATCCTTGACTTGGCCCAGGCTGCAGCTGTTTTAACTTTATCTGATAGAGCAACYGAATGCTTCTGTCCACTGGGCATGGCTCAGACCCCTGCTGCTTCACTGTCTCTGCCTCCAAATGAGCTAAATAAGGAGTTAGAAATTTAAGGTGGGTTGAGCACAGGGATAAACAGTATCATACTGAACTGAAGAGCTTTAGGGCAGTGTGCCCTAAATCATACTGGATGCCTATTTTAAAAGCATGTACTGTATTTGTTYTTTGCTCTGCTATTGCTCTGCTTCACTCTTATGCTCTGCTTGCTTCTCTGTTTCTTTATATCAATAACTTTTACTCATGCAGACTGGATGAAGAGCTGAGGGAAGCTTCAGAAACAGCTAAGTAAGATAGCTTTTGCTGGATGCTGGCATTACTGTTTCACAGGAATAGCTTGAATGTAGTAGTACGTTGTGTTTGGTACAGCAGTCACCTAGTAGTTTTAATTACTGCATAAGTTGCCCCATTTGTGAATTGACTTCCCCTCTCACTAAGAGCAGCCTGCATTTGTATTGCTGGGTCTCAGGAATAAATAATCATACCCTTACATTATAAAAAACATTTTTGCTGGTTTTTTTCATGATTTTTGGTATAGTGATGGGAATGACCAAAATCACRCACATACTCCATTAAAATGGATCATTAAATATTTTCTACCCTTTGCCTCTGATGTCAGATGATTCATACAGTTTTTAAGAGGTAGTTCCTTCWGCAATTTTTCTTTTTTTACAATTTAATAAATTAGGGTTAGCTATTGCACCTCGTTCTCAGTTAAGGTAGGTACATAAATTCTTCTGTCTTTCCAGTGTTGGCTGGATAGGCATGGGAATTAATACTTGATAATAATACTGTAATGTCTATGGTCGTTTAAYAAATCAGTGTCAGGTGATGATCAGATACTTTAAACTGATACCCTGTGCTTGACRTGAATATAATGAGGCAATACATTGTAGAATACTGAAGAAATCCTTAACTGGAAGTACACAATCCTTGACTCACTGAGCAGAGCTTAGAAAGTATCCAGTGCACTTTCCTCATGTGGGTACTGTACACAAAATTCCTGAACAGGAATCTGTGTCTGTTGTTTATATAACATTTTCGCTTGCAATTTTTGTAAYCAAAGGTTTTGAGTTCTGAAGTTTCTTTCTAGTCACCTTCCTTTTGCTTATACACTTCAGGATTTTCATCTTATAGCTTATTCTCTGCTGTACTTTTTCCTAAAGTTTCTTCTTTTGCAGTACACATTTTCCCTCAGTTCTTCTGAACTTAGCTTCTAAAACAACCACAGAGAAATACACTGGCTACTGCTTATTGAGTCTAGCAGTTGGACTGCCTCARAAGCAATGCATTCACATAAGTAGTTATCTGATACCACCTGACTATTTCGTTAAACAAAAAGACCTACCCAGCCTTGAAATGCAGCTTCCATCCCTTCTGTTCAAACATTTCYAAATGCATTGTATATGTCACAATGAAAGCTGCTTTCTTGTGACTCCTTTTAAAATAGTAGAGGCTGCAGCATGGCTAGTGAAAGGGGAACTAAATATTCATATGAGGTATCACTGATTTATTGTTATTGATGGATGTATGAAGTCACTGTACTGCACTTCCCTTCCCCAACTTAAAAAAATAGCTTAAAAATTTGTTACTCAAACTGTGTGTTGTGGGTGCTAATATCCCTACATTATTAACAAGAATGTTTGTATATTTGTGCTGTTGAAGATACTCACTACAGTTAGTTACTACATCTGCAAGTGTGATGTCATRTTTAAAAAGAGGAAAGGAATGAACATAGAAAAAAACATTTACTCATCTTTTTCCTTGTATCCAGAACTAGCTGCCTCTCAAATGATCCAGAAATGGCTTCCGTGGAGCAGGAGTAAGAATTTATGCTTAATAGATTATATTTTAACATTGTTTTGCAGCCATACTGCTAGGAACTGAGGCTGGGTAGACTCCATAAAGTTTTTTTGAGACCTAAATACTTTTATGGTAATATTCAGGCACAACATGTGCAAGCAGAAAAAATACTGAAACTTTTTTACATGTAGGTTTTATATAATTTATGTAGTGTTAAATACTGAAGATTTGTTATATTTGTGTTGTATTGGGAATGTGTTTGGAGYGTCCTTAACCATTTCCAAGCAGAGAGAGATAATTGTTAGTCTGAGAATATCCAGGTTAAATTATGTTGAAAACAGAAAAAATGCAGCATGATCACAGTGAGRATAGTCCCATGCATTATCCTCAATTAAAGTGGTAAACTTCCCATTCTCATTCAAAGATTAAGAACTCTTAYATTTTACTTTGATTTCTGGGCCATACTCTTCAGACCTACCTTCTCTTTGCTTTTCTGCTTCTCGGCTTCTTTCATAATTATTTTCCTGATTAAATCCCAAGCATCTTTACGTCTTTTCRCTTCAAAGATGGACTGGTTCCCTTGGAAATGGGAATGTGTCACTCTTCCGGTATGCAGTTACTCCATCTGATGCCATAACTGGAGCGTGAAGATGGAAAACCCTGCACTGCTCTTACTGTTCATCAGTGAGAGGGTTTGTAGCTGCAGTGTGTCACACAAGCAGTGACAGCTCATTGCTGGAACAGAATGTCAGGAGGARCAGCCACTGTGGCAGAGTGTGTCCTGGCCAGTGTGCGCAGGGCAGAGCTACTGAGGATTKGGCTGTCCCTGCCCAGCTGATGGGTGTGTAGGAATACACTGCTGTCTCACAGTGGAAAATACTGTACAGAAAATATCATATGGTAAAYCTGACTCCTCAGCAAAAGATTCCATCAATGACATGAGTACTAATAAACTGGCGAATAATTAGAAGTTTATGTAGCAAGAAGTTGCATAAATGAACTGGAGCTTTGGTTTTCACTTTTTAAAAAATAAAACAGTCCTCTAGTAAGCTATCATACTGTCATACCRAATGCTCACCTTAGAACCATAAATTCCTGATTCCTGGAGGGGTTGACATTATATCTCATCTCTTTTTTGTTCCTCAGACACTGTTTTATTCTATAATGAGTCAATATGAAAGCTGTTTTTCAAAGTATAAGAACAAAAAATGACATGTTAAAGACTATTTGCTTATGATTTTGACCTTTTGTAGCTTGAAAAATCTTCCTGTTTTTTTCAAAAGATAAGCTGGGTAGCAAAAAGCAATATGAGAAGAGAATTTACATTTATCTTAAGTAAATATAGTAAAAGCCAAATTAATCTTAATTCCAAATTAATGTTCATTAATGGCATGTGTCTGCTCTGCATAAATATGAATCCGTCTTCAGAAGTGGCACTATTTTTCCTGTGATCATATCCCTCATTTCTTGTATGCTTTCTTCAGTAAATAGGATTTCCCATGTAAATCCCTTTACACTGAGAACAGCAGTTTTACCCAGACTTGTCTTCCGTATGCTTTCTGCTGAGACATCTCTGGACTCTGCCCAGCTCTTAGTTTGCTTCTGTTGTGTTTTTCGTACTATTCCAGAGGCCTTTGTCTGTTGTCATGCTCCCTTGTTCTATTTTGTTTAACTCCTTGCATTTCTTCATGACTTAAAGAATTATGAAATAATTCACAGTGAAAGAACCATTGGATAACAGTTCGTAAATTTTGAGGAAATGTTAAATTATGTATTCTTTAAGTAAGATTGTATTTTGAGGCAACGTTTATGAAAACTGCTTCTTAATCGAAAGAATACTTCTAGAGTGTTTCATGACATAAGCTTTGCACTAAATAGCAAAACAGTACAGTTAGGAACATTTTTAGGGGCACTCATTCCTGCCACATGGTTGTGTCRTTCCACCAGTGGATCTTCCCCACCTGATGTTTACCTCAGATTGCAATTGGTGAAAAAGTAGTTGTTAATTTCAATAAAACAGTGACAGAATTTACTAAGGTGTATACTCTCACAGGTGGTAGGTAGGATAAGGGTAACTTACTTCACACTACWGCATTGAAATAAATGAGAGATGAGGATACTCTGCACTTTGTGGGAACTCAGGATTGGGGAAATCACTAGCCATGTGTTTTCAGAGCACTGATTAATTTGTTGTTGTTGTCCTCTGTCATTTTGTCTTTAATAAATAGCATCGACATGACCCTGAAATAAAAAGCATCGTTGCCAGGCATTTGAAGAAGAGGGTTCACATGGATTTTCATCACCCAGACAATCACAGCCATGCTATACAATAAGAGATTTGGTCAACTGTGTTCGGATTTTAAGTTTTACCTGTCATTCAGCAATTCAAGAAGACTAAAAGGACCAATCCTATTACCATGGAAACAGCAGAATTTTTGGTCCTGGTTAGTTTTCATGTTTCCAGAAACAATTTTCATTAGGAAAGCTATGTCATCTAGCATTGGTTTCTATGTGTGTGTGCAATTTCTGTTTAAAAGGATACCATTTTACTGACAGTGTGCCTCATGAATAGGTCAATGAGGATGGGGATTTTTTCATTTTGTCTTGAGCTTATTAATGTTTATGCATAGCTGAATGTGATAGTTATTACAGTGTTAGTTTGCTTGTGTCACAGAGCAGCAGCGACCATTGTTTAAAAACAGTTCTAGAAATTATGCAGGAGTTTCTTGAATTTGRCAGGCCATGTTGGATCAGGCTTTGGGCAACCTGTGAAAGTTATGACAAATGTTTTCTCTTACTCTAAGGAATACATAGGGACTTTMCAAACCGCTGATTCACCTGCCTTTTGGGAAATCCTGATGGAAGTCGTATTATTACATACCCTCTGAAATATTACTCTTTTTATCATAATGTTCTTATATGCCCTAGAATTACATCTRTGGATTCTTTACTTTGCAAAGAAATCCTTTAACCTTACAACTCAAGCAAAATTGCTTTTTAAGTAATTTCTTACTCCAGTCCTGCTTTTAGTTCAGAATTATTAATGAAAGGGGGAAAAAAGCAGGATCTAAACTGAAAGTGAAAGTTCTGTTCTGTCCTTTGTTTGAAAGTTTGGGCTTTTTGTTCTGTGGTTTGTGTATTTCCAGCTGTCAGTTTCTGTTCCGTATTTGGAAGGCAGTCTGCAAGCAATGAAGCAAGTGTCTGTCATTCTGTGCATAGTTGTTCAGCTACTGTAATCGAGACAGACAAAATTGTGAGTTTTCTTATTGGCCAGCATGAAAACTGTGCCCCTCTGCAGTCCTTGCTCTGTACTGGTATCTCTGTCAAACTTGCTAGTCTGCTCTATCACATCTTTCTGTCAGTTCCTGTAAATTTTCACAGAGGAAGGGCCTAATCCTGCAGACCATTGTTGCTGCTCTGTAACCTTGTCCTAAACTAGGAACCGGTAGTTTCCACCTTTTCTCAAATATTTGAATCCTGGCTTGTGTCTGCCTTATGAAAGTGCTGTCACTTAGTATATTGGGGATAATGTTTTATGTACAGATTAATATTTGTATTGACTTCCAGATGCTAATTCAGCTTCATTAAGATCTAAACTATTAAAAGCATTTAGTAGCATGAAGTTGCATCGTTTGTAAACCTGTAGTTTAAGCCTCCTAGGCCAAGCCACATGACTTGTGTTATGCAAGAGATGGGAAAAGTTTGCACTAGAAGAGAAGTTCACCACAAAGCGGAGGCTCAGCAAAAATCTTCACTCACTGTTTGAGACCTAAGTGGGTCTCAAAGAGGTTTGTGACTCAAAGTGGGGTATAAGAGGTTTGTGAATTTAGTGGTGGATGGTTCAGCTCAGAGTTGAATTTAATTCTATTTGCTTTGTGTGAAATTACTAAACAGCAAAGTTGTACATGAATTAATATGACTCGCATTGGCAGAATAATGGTGGCAGCCTGACGTGCAAGGAATTTGTTTAATCCAAATGTCACATTAAAACAAAATGGATGTGATGGTTAAAAAAATGATTGCAAGTTCAAAGTGTGGTTATCTTTGCTTATTAATATATTTTGAAAAGTTTTTTAATGTTATGATACGGCGATTCAATATTATCCTAACAATAACGTAACAATATTACTAAATCAGTAGTTTGTTGAAAGAATTGCACAGTTATCAGCTATCAGGTATCAGCTTTTATATATGGATTTTTTCTACTGTGTATCAGAGTGCTCAGATCAAATACAGATTAATAGTTGCAATTTTTTTTTTGTCAAAATACTTATGCTGACTTAAATTGTAGATTAAGCAATACAAGGATATCTAATATCATTGTATGGATATATATACACACCTATAAATCAGAAATAAAGAATTGCAACCCACTGCTGGAAATATTTCCTTTCAGTTCCAAATTGCGGGGTTTTTTTTATTCCCTGGGGGTGTGGAAACACTTGATTGTTTCAGATAAGTTCTTGGCATAGTTACAAATATTTTGTTTACTTTCCATTCCCTACCTGTACCTCCAAAAACGGAAATGGCGTCAATTTTGTGTCTCATGATATTGTTCCCCATCTCCATGTATTGAACTCTCCATTATTAACTCTCCATGTTTTGTTGAGACTAGCAGTATTGTTCCTGAAAGAAAGCAGAAGGAGCTTTTTAAATYGCTCTCTAATTTGTGTCCATGCTATTATGTAAAGACCAAATGCACAGATAGTGTCAGTCCATCTCATATGCCAGAAAGGCAAAAGCTACAGGCAGAAAGAGATTGTCTGTGAAACCACCCAAAGCAGATTAATAACCTGATTGACAGTGAGGGAAGGGGTCAGAGCTGGTGGACATGAAGTCCTCTCACCTGCCTGATACCTTGTGCCCAACGTCCCAGTGCTCATCTGTGTCAAATGGGCCAATTTATATTTCCATTGYTTCAAATGAACCTGACTGACTTTTAGAGCTGAGGATTGAGCAGTGAGGCGCCAAATACAAGTTTAAGAAGGCATGAGCTGTCATTTCTTAATTGCCACCTACCTGCAAGCAGCTCTGTGAGTGCTCCTAGACGTTTTCAGAGTCAAAGCAGTGGGATTAAACAGACCTTTCATGCCTCTTGAAAATAGATGAAATAGGTGAAAAGGCTTCTTGACTTCTGGTAAGTTTGGAGATTTATCAGATGTTTACTAAATTATCAGTGTATGACCCTCCATTTGGTGCCACTAGGTCAGATTGTGTTCGCTGTGCAGCCACRTTTATTTATTTCTAGAAACAAGAGGGGTGTCTCTGTATTGCCTGGCACAGATGAAGCCAATAGAGCAAGCATCAGATTAGCAGTTTTACTTCTCACTCACTGTCCCTTTCCTCCAGTCACTTAACCCCTCTGCCACCCTTTGCCATTGCAAAATACAGCTACCATTCAGACAGGATGTGACAATTATCTGCTGYGCTCAGGGGAAGACCAGAGAATGGCACTGTGAAGTTAAAAGATCAGCTGTTCCTGTTTGCCTTGCTGTGGTTTACAGTTCTGTCTTCTCTGCCTAACAAATGGTCAGCTGCTACAGAATACAAAATCTCCTCCCAAAAAATTACTTTGCAAAGGTACTGAAGTCTCTTGAAAAATTATATGCTTGGCTCTTACACATATTTTTCCTGGAAACATTCACCCATTTCAGAAGTGCTCACTCACTGCTCGCCTARAGTAAATTCTCTCAGCAGTCCTAGTAACTCTCTGGTTTGTGCATTCAGCCCAAGCAATGGAATTGACTGAACTGAGCTCTGCCAAATTTGAGAACCTGAAAGGAACTACAGCCGAAGCTTACCATCTTTTTTTTTTATTATTCTTTGATGTTTTCTTGCATTTGAGATAACCCTATTAAATGTAGCTTTGTGGAAGTAGGGCAAAACCTCTTTCAAGGCTTACAGTACATAATAGTCCATTTGAAAGTGCAGACTACTGTGGGCTTTTTGATATATGTGTGCAAATTGATCGTATAGCAATTATTTTTAAGGAAAAACACGACTGTTTCTACAAGTACACTTGGTGATCTCCATTTTKTACCCCTGTTTTGGAAAATCCAGTGTCTTGTTTTTTTAAGCAAAACAGGAATCAAAATACAAAATTGTGCTTTTTTTWWAAARAAATTATTACTATTATTATTAGAAAAAATCCATTTCGTGTGCCAACATTTGCATACATTAATGTTGTTAGTAAGGTCCTTGTTGTCTTCAAAGGAAGGTTTTGGTCTTGAATCCAGAATTATATTAGGTATGAGAATGCACTGTAATGTACATCATATGTGGATTGTAAAGACAGAAGAAATGTCATTTCAAGCCAATATAATATATTATGAACAAGTAATTTGGATGCAGCACAGCACTGTTTCTCAATGATGCCTTGAGGGACAGACAAACAGACCCATGTGCCTGTCCTGATACTGCACTAGTGACCTGTGAACTGTGGGAAATAAATACTGACTACAAAGAATGAGGTTTCTGTTAGTTTTTAGTTGACCAACTGTTACCTCTGTGGTGGGGTACTTCAGAAAAAGAAGGTGCAGTGTCTCTCATACAGTATCTAGTCAGAAAAACTGTTGAGCTCTAAGATTGTCAAACACTGTTCAAAGGAATTAAATTTCTTCTTTTATTTTGCTTCTCAGTATTATCTATTTAGCCAAGTCAAAATTTACTGCTAAAATAGAATCGGTTAAAAGAAAATTCAAATCAACTGTGTCAAAATCTTATCTTCTTGCCGCTATTACGTATTTCAGTAAGYGGCAAGCAAAGCAGCCTGCAGCAATGGTAAGAAAATAATCCACTGAGTACTTCCCATGATGCTCCSTGAGGCCCTGGTATGTAAAGCAGACTCCCTCCATGAGACAGTGACTCAGAAAATGAAGTGCTGGCTTTCTAGGACAGACCTGTGTTGAGCCATCAAGGCCATAAAACTTCATCTCTGTCTTCATCCCTTTGAAGTATGAGTAGCATTGCCTTAAGCAGTCAACTGAAAGAACACAGAGAATATTAATGTGAGATTTGGCCTTTATGATGTTAAAAAAAAGGATGTAAAAAAAAAAAAAAATAAGGAACACAACTAAAATTATCCGTCAGGAAGGAAAACTGGGGGAGTGAAGGACAGGTCAGGGAAATGACTGGGCGGAGGTAGGGTTACAGACATCTTTCTACTTGAGGCTGCAGTTTCCTTCCAGATTCTGRTTTTCCTTGGGGAGCGCTTCTGAAACATAGCAGGCCTGTTTGCCTGAAGCGTTTACTTAAAAGAAGCACAAGTGAACTCTGTTCTAAATGTTCTTT